CTCTGCTGAAAATGTTTGCTGATCCCTGATCTAGTAGCATCTCCAAATTATCTATCTGCTCCTTTTGGGGGCGGGTGGGGTGAGGCTTCATTCAAAACCTATTTGGGCCACTTAACTGGACAAATGAACTACTCATAAGCAGTATTTCTGCCTTAGCTGGATTAGGTTTCAGTTTATTGTTCCTCATTCAGTCCACTATTAAGTTTAACTACTGGTTTAGAATGTCTACTGGCTCACCTTAATTAGATGAGAGGTAGCGTAGAGCTAGATGGTGGTACCTGAGCCCACACCCCCCTCAATGATTCTAACTCCTTTAACTTAGATCAGGGTTTCCCAAACTTGAGTCTCCAGCTGCTGTTAGACTACAACTCCCATCATCCCTAACTAGCAGGATCAGTGGGCAGAGATGATGGGAACTGTAGTCCAAAAACAGCTGGAACTCAAGTTTGGAAAACCCTGAAAAGGTTTTTAAAAGCATAGGGGATAAAATAGAGCCTTGTGGATCTCCACACCTAAACCTTTTGACCCAATGATACTGTATTTCATTTGTAATTGTAATGCATTGAGAACCTCAGGGAGAAGCTTGGGAGGCTCCTGGAATATATTCTTGAAGATTTTCCCTTGACAGACTACAGGAATCTTTAAATTCCTTTTGAATGAAGTAAGTGCAATGGCACTTGCCCACATTCTTCCTATTCTATCTTTGTCTTTTCCTCCCTCTGTAGATTCCCCCACTGTTGTGGACTGTAATTGCCTAGTGGGCAGAAATTTGTCAATTTTGCCTATGCAACTCTGTAAGGCAGCATATACGGTACATGAATATATAACATATACCTTTGTATATTTATAACCATGTACAAATAGTACACAATAAAATATTAATTTTAGACAGTGTATTAAATGGAGTATCCCTAAAGGTAAATGGTGCTTGCACGGTAGGAGCGATTAAGGCTGCAATCCTAAATATACTTACTAGGGTGCAGGCCTCCTTTGGCTTATGGGACTACCACTACTGAGTAAAAATATATCCATAAGATCACCTTGCACAATAAAAAATTAAATATAAAATAATTTCTGTTCACCACCAAACACTCCTGAGTGCTTATATCCCAGCAATATGGGAGACGAGCATATTAATCATTCTGAACCAGAAGGCAGCTGGTCCATTGATCTTGTAATAGGTTGTCAATTCATGGTCTTTTAGAGGCACAAGTAGAACAATGCAAAGAAGAAAAAAGTGCTATAGATTTGCATTAATCTTGTTAAGCCAGCATAATAAATAACTCACATGAGAAGGTATGAACACCCAATGAGGTATATAAGGGGACTTTTTTTTTAAAAAAAGAAGTCTTGTCTGACCTCAGTGCTCAGTGTCAAGTAATCAGCTCAGTATATGAGCTGGCTTTCTTTATAGCACATTTATGCTGGGGGGTGTAGGAAATGCACTTTCCATGGCTCAGCATAAAGCAACTATCCTTTTCACAAGTGACAGTGCCTGCCACTCCTTATTCTAAATACAACTGTGAACTGAATAAAGCTTCTTCCAAGCAACTGATTTGATTTAAAATCTACTAGCCTTCAACTACACTTAGGTGGTATGCTGGAGAGTATCAGTGCAAGCCTATACATTTCTACTACACTCCAGGTAAAATGTATATACTGCAACCCAGCCTGAAATATACTCGGAGTCGAGTGTGGATTTCATACTCTTTATTCAGCTCATAGTATGTAGTGAGGAATGAAAGTTCCCCCTGAAATGTTTGCTTTATATACATTATTTACACAATGGGCCCCACGTGATTGGCTAATTCCGGGATTCTCCTGTAGGCCAATCAGGTTGCGGATTCACTTCCACCTGGAGTTGGATTGGGTGGCTCCTGCGGACCAATCAGACTGCTGCATTCTGGATCCTATTGTTTTAGGACCAATCGGACAGCACCAATTCAATAGGGCGAGGCGTCGCATGCTAGCACCACCGACAGCCTCTCGCTGAAGTGTGCCAAGACCGAGTTTGAGATGAGCAAGTCCTTGACTGCCTGGAATGCGGTCTCCTGGCGCTGGCTCCACACCCAAGGGGCCCGCTTGTCCAGGAGTCTGTGTAGGGGCTCCGCTACCGCCGCTTTATGGGGGAGGAAGGCATGGTAAAAGTTCAGTAGTCCCAAGAAGGCCTGAAGTTCAGTCTTGCCTTTGGGCACTGGGGCATCACAAATGGCCCATACCTTGTCCCCAGTTGGGTGGACCCCTTCTGCGTCCACCATAAATCCCAGAAAGTCCACCCGAGGCACTCCTAGTAGACATTTTTCCTGCTTCATCTTGAGACCCACTGTCTGGAAACGGTGCAAAAAGGTGCGGAGGCAGTCCTCAAACTCCTCTGGCATGGGCCCGGCAATCAACACATCATCGAAGAAGGGGGTGATACCAGGAATCCCTTTAAGGAGAGAATCCATTAGATTCTGGAATATGCCTGGTGCCACGCTGACACCGAATTGCAGCCGCTTTACCTTGAATGCTCCTCTGTGCCTCTGCTGTGACCTCATCCACAGGCAGCTGTTGATAGGCTTGGGCCAAGTCCAGATTGCCAAAAAAAATTGACCCAACCAGGGTGGCGAGGACATGGCTGACCACTGGCACTGGGCATACGTGGGCTGTGAGGGCCTTGTTTATGGTACATTTGTAGTCTGCACAGATGCAGATCGAGTCATTAGGCTTGATGGGTGTGACGATCGGGGTTTCCCAGGGGGCATTAGGCACAGGCTCCAGCACTCCTTGCTCCACGAGCTGGTCCAATTCCTTGTCTATATGGGGTTTCAGGGCGGACGGGACCCAGCAGGCCTTGAGCCTCACAGGTCATACTGCGGGGTCAACCTGTAGGGCAATGGGGGGGGCCCGTATACTGTCCCAATTTCCCATTGAAAACCCCCAGAAATTCATTGCATATGGCGTCCACATCCACTTGTAAGCTAGTGTGGTTCACCCCAGTGACAGCTAACCCCAGCGGTCCAAACCATGCCAATCCCAGTAAGCTAACGTAGGGCCTCTTGACCACAAGCAAGTCCAGTTGCCGCGTCCGCCCTGAAGGTCCCCACCCCCATTGTGGGGACCTCACATTTCTGGAGGTCCCGGAGGGTGAGTGGGGCGGGCCTGAGTTTGGGACCCCCACTAGGTCATAGTTTCCTTAAGGTCCTTGCCGAGATTATGGACAGAGTTGAACCCGTGTCAAGCTCCATGCAGCACGGGGCCCCCTCTATCTGTACCTCTACATAAATTTTCTCTATGTTGGGTGGGGCAACTGGTATACCTGGCAGTCCGTGATCTCTGTCGAGTTGTCTTGGTGTGTTGGGCCCCGGGGCCTGGGGTTCTTGGATTGGTCATCTGATGCCTGGTGTCGGGTGGGCTGAGCCTGACACACCCGGGCAATGTGTCCCAAATTTCTGCACTGCCTGCACTCTGCGTTGCGGAAACGGCAGGTCCTCCTCTCGTGACTCTCCCCGCAGCTTGCGCAGTTCCCTCCTTCTCGTCGAGGCAGCTGTGGTCTGTGTGCTGCTTGAGTGCGCCGCTGTACTCGGTGCACCTCCTCCCTGTCAGATCCTGAGTCGTTGGCAAGGTCTTTGTGGTGGACCCTCAGTTGCTCGGCAGCTTCAGTTGCCAGGGCCTCCTCCAGCGCGACCTGGAACGTTAGGTCCTTCTTGGCATAGAGGCGTCGTTGCAGCTTCTCATCCTTCAGGCCACCGATGAGGCGGTCACGAAGCATGTTCTCCAATTCTGAGAAGTTGCAGAACCGGGCGGCTTGGTGGAGGGAGGTCACAAACCCAGTTATGGTTTCCCCAGGGGCTTGCCGCTTTGCGTAGAAGGCATTTCGAAGAGCCACCACCGAGGGCTCTATCTCTCTGTCAATCCCTGTACGGGCCACCACCGAGGGCTGTGGTGAGAAGTGCCCCTTCAGCCGTTCCATTATTGTTTTGTAAGGAACAGTAGCGACGTCTTCAGGCGCAAGGAGAGCCCGGGCAATTTCAAACGTCTCCTCTCCGCAGACACTGAAAAATATTGCTCTCTTCTTGGCATCTTCTTCGTTGGTGACCCCTTTGGCTTCTAGGAGGAAGGTGAAATGGGAGGCGTACACTTCCCAGTCTCCGGATGCTGGGTTGAATGGCGAGAAGCTGCTTTTGGTTGCCATTCTGAGTTCCTTGGGTCCAGGAGCTGAAGCCTGGATACACGGTGCAAGGCAGCCGTGTGGCAGGTGGCGGTGCTTTGTGTGGCGGTCAGCTCAGCGGGATCCCACATTCATCACCAGTGAAATATACTCGGAGTTGAGTGTGGATTTCATGCTCTTTATTCAGCTCATAGTGGTGAGGAATGAAAGTTCCCTCGAAATGTCTGCTTTATATACATTATTTACACAATGGGCCCCACATGATTGGCTAATTCTGGGATTCTCCTGTAGGCCAATCAGGTTGCGGATTCACTTCCACCTGGAGTTGGATTGGGTGGCTCCTGCGGACCAATCAGACTGCTGCATTCTGAATCCTATTGTTCTAGGACCAATCAGACAGCTGCATTCTCTATTGTTCTAGGACCAATCAGACTGCTGCAATTTGGATCCTATTCAACTCAGTACATAACACAACCTTAAAGTGTTATTCTAAAGTCTTATTCTGGGATACTTTTAAAATCTTCCCAAGCTACTTATTTTGGGCATGTGCTTGCCTTGCTATATTTAAGCAAAACCACGATTGCTAATTCCGCCCGAAAGCAACCTTGAAATCACACTGAGAATGAAGGCTGCAAAACATGTTTATTTTTCAATTAAGATACGTTAACTGAAGAGAACGGCTTTGCCAAACAGACGCTCGACTCCCAGAACCGAACGAGTACACTTCATCCTTTCCCGCTACCCACCACGAGGGAGGCTGGGACTACACTTCCCAGCATCCATTGCTTCTGGGTCCTCACATACAGGATTAACCAAGGCAGCCTTACCCGGTTATCATTATGTCAGAAGCATTCCGTTAGCACAGATTACGACTTTGTTTTGCAGCATAACAAGAGGAGTAGCTTCTGTCGTCTGAGGGAGCCTTCTGAGAATCAGCAGCGGGGTCCCTCGAGCCTAAGAAAGTGACACTTCTATCCCGGCGCCACCCTGGACGCCTCTGCTCTTCTGGGGGCCTCTCGTCGACGACGGCGCTTTATGAAACGTCACGTCGTTCCGGTTTTTCAAAATGGCCGCGGTGTCGGCGGCAGTTCGCGTCCTGGGAGCTGCTCCTGCCTATCGGGGGGCTCCGGTCTCCTTCACCTTTCCTTCGTAGGCTTGCTGGGCGGAGGCGCCCAAGAATTCTGCGATACTCCAAACTGGCCCTCGTTCGCATTCAAAATAAATTAAAAATGAAGCCAAGCAAGGTATGTCAACGCGGTCTCTTACCGAGACTTAAAATACGTTATTTCGGAGGCCAAGTATTATTACGCAGGCTCCAAGAACAGGAAACACCTCGGCAAGGTAAGATTTCGAGCCAGTTTATGTGCTGGAAACAAGCTTCTGGGATGCCAAGAACTCGCTCCGACAACAACGTTGGGTAAACACGACTTGTTTCCAAGTGAGGGGTTGGGGGGGGGGGGGAGAGCTGCAATCAGCTAAAAGGTTTCCGCCATATTTTAGTAAGTAGATCAAATGCTAGCAATTAAGTTTTTGATATGGGAGCTGTTGCTCCCCCTCACGTGTTCTGTGTAAATTGCTGGGGTTTTTTAGACTAATGTATTGTGAATTAGATGTTACGAGTGCTTGTTAAGAATTTTATGAGGCGCTTTAAATTCCAATTTTATTTGGTTGGTGTCTTTCAATTTTTAATCTAGGCCATCTTGGAATAGCATTACTCAAGAATTGTGGCAGATTTACTAAAACACTGGTCAGAAAATGGCGCACACACAAAGCTTATTCTGCAGTCCTTTGAGCTGTGAATTTAACGCTGCCTTTTACTTGGTTTATGCTTATTTTATAATTTTTTGATTACTTTGTTACTCCGCTGGATGCACTGTAAAGTCATCCTGGGAATTTTCCACATTGAAGCGTGTTATATACAAGGGTTAAAATAAAGACTATGATTCTAATATTCTCTAAAGTTCACTTATGGATTTCAAATGTGTCCTTCCAACCATGTGGAATAAAAGCAGTACAATGCTGTACGATCAGTGCAGTGGGCCCAACCCTCAACAAAGCCTAGACAATGCACTTCTTGAACTTCAGTCACATGACTCTCTGGTTCAGCAAGCATTTTAAAGCAATGGCAGTTTCTAATTTCTTTTTTTTTAATACGATGTTTTAAAAATATCATTGAATAGAAATTCTAATTATTAAACAATATATATTTTAAATAAAAAAATCATGTCTACTCAAAAGTCTTACTGATTTCAGTGGTGCTAACTCCCAACATAACTGGTTATTGGCTAGAAGCCTGAGTGTATTTATTAATTAAGCTGGTTCAGATTCTATATTGAGGGAGTCACAACAGGAAAGCCTTTGCTTTATGGCAAGAAAGAACAAGTGGTTATTTCTGGGGAACTTTATTTAGGTGTTTAAAAACACTATTAAATTGGTTGATGTCATGTCAACATCACACAAAAATGTAAGTTATTTTAGGCAGCACTATACAATAAAATAAGGGACAAGGGTGGTGCTGTGGCCTAAACCCACAGAGCCTAGGGCTTGCTGGTCAGAAGGTTGGCAGTCTGAATTCTCGCGATGGGGTGAGCTCCCATTGTTCAGTCCCAGCTCCTGCCCACCTAGCAGTTCGAAAGCACATCAAGTGCAAATAGATAAATAGAACGGTCAGGGGTACCTTTACCCTTATACAATAAAATAGAAGATTTAAACCAGTGCAAAGTTTATTGGAACTTCAGGTACCTCCATTTCAGGAGGTTTTCATTGAAAAGCGGTCAAAAACCTGATGGCATTGCCACTTCTCTGGCTGTATAGGTAACTCATATATCCTTTATAACCAAAGCTGCTGTTCGAGCCATTATACACTAGCAATATTTAGAAAAACACTGGCTCTGCAGTAATCACCTCGCCTAGGAACATCAGAAGCAGATGTCCTGCACAACCCTCAGTGGGTTACAGCAGCATTAAAACCTCCAATCAAGGCCTTGAAGCAGGAACAGCCAAGTCAGAGCGGCTTCACCGGTGAATTTGTAAACCAAATATATTGCCATCAAGAAGCAGGCTCTATTCAAGTATGTTACCATAGAAGACATGTATGTCAAAAGCCCTTCTTAAAATGAAGAGCTATATTTATTACCTGATGCTCTGGTAGTCCTAGCTTTGCTTTTTTCATTAGTGGTCAATATGTATTGTCCTATGATGCCATAGAAATGTTTTTATTGTGTACTGTGATTGTGTCTTTGTGTGCCTTTTGCACTGCTGCCCAATGTTCTATTTTCCACTACAATGCAGTCAAAGACCAAAAACTGAATGGCCATTGTCTATGTTTGCACTCCTATTCAATGCCCAAGGAAGAATTATCTAATTTAAGATATGAATATCTGCCTCCTTATACAGAAAGTCAACAAAAGTTGTTGAGTTTTGAGATGTCATTCACATCTACAGCAACTTTCATTAGAATTTTGTTCTGTAGAGGGAAAAAAGGCTATAATCCATCTACATTTCTAAGCTAAAACCAAACTCAAGCCACATGTTTTTATGGAAGACAGCAAGATTAAGAAGGGCAGCTAACAAGGTTTGTTTGCTCTCTAAACACTGCAGACTTACTAGCACCAATTATTAGAGTGTTCTGCAAGTACAGTGGCTCACTGAATTTGCCAGGGGTTACGCAAATAGTTCCAAGATATTCAGGAGGACCCATTGGAGGCAGCCTGATGGCTATATAGATTTGATTCTTACCCTTGCCCTAGCTTTACTAGTCTTCCTTATCAGTATGTGACCTTTAAACGCCAGGGCATGAATTTCCTCCACTGTCAGAAACACATCCATCAAAATGGGGAAAAGGAACAAGAGGGATTCAGTAAAATGACTGCAAGCTTTCATAACATCATTCCTCTTCACCTCTCAAATCGCTACTGGTTTCTTCTAGACTGAAATGTTTCAAAGTTTCTTCTTGCATCTGCTTTAAAACACAAGGCCTGTCTCAAATTTCTTCTAGGGTAGCAGATTCTTCTTAGGTTCTTGTACCCAGTTCTGCTAGGTAGAAAGATCAGAACCACCAGTTTGTTGACAGGGCCATGGTATGCAAATATTCTGTGTTGATGACATCACACTGGATGCTCCCACTCATCTTCTACCTCAAAACTAGGGTAAAGTAGAAATAGAAACACAGTGTTTCCATTCTGCAGTTGCTTTCTAAGGAGAGAAAAATGCACACACTGGCTTTTTCAATCTGGTAAATGCCCATCTTGTAGAAGTCTCTCCCTTTGGCTAACTGTTTGTCCACCAGGATAGGAGACCCAGACCAGGTTCACTGATAGATCCCTGCACAGAGAAAGAATATAAGTTAGAATTTAGCACATGAAAATCTGGATTATCCATTTAATCTGCAGTATTCTCTGAATTCTGAGTTTTTCATTCTGAGGTCACTTAGAGATCCTCACATACCCTTTCCTCACAATTATAAATACTTGAAAGAATAAGGTCTACATCCTATCACCAAGGATGTGACTACTTTTAGGTAGTGAAAGGATATTTCAAAAGCCTATGTAGAAAGGAGTAGTGTTAAATAGTTACCACTAGTGTGTAGGGGGCTTCCTTCTTCTGCACCTCCTCTGTGGCACTAGAGGTGGAGGGCTCTGCAGAGCTTGGGCCTGTTGGGGATGTGTCAATGAAAGTTTCATCAACCACCCGGAAACGGATTTCCTCTCCTGTATCCATATACAGGTCATGGGCTCCTTCTTCGGTCTCATATTCCCAAACCCATACTTGTTCTGCTTCATCACTGGGCACATAGAGAGTTAAGGCAACAGCGCGATAAGAAGGCATAGAAGTTCAAATTCAAGTATGAAATCCCTTTTCTGATATTGGCTCTCACAGCTTTTTAACTTAAGTACAGTACAAGTAAAATAATGCTAAATTAGATCACTCTCTACAGCAATGGAAAATTTTCTGCTGCAAATTATCCTAAATGCATTCTGGAAAATGTCCCCTGTGCAAGGTTTTCACACAGACCACGCTAGATCTGCTAATAAATGTCTCTTATGTTATGCAGCAAGAAAATTGAATTCAATCCAGCAACTAACCACAGGTCTCAGGATGGAAACAAATAAGACATTTGATTTGGACTGCAGTTTCCCAAACCTTAACTGATCTCTTCCTATTAATGCCCTTCACACCACAGCCCTCAACCCAACTAATCTTTGGGTTGTATCCAATGTGCAAGTAGAAGGCAGCTTTGTGCAATGGATCTTTTTCTCTTCCCCTACAGTTTCCACAAAGCTTCCCTACAGAGTCTGGGGGCCCTGCCAAACATTGAAGGCTGCGTCCATCCATGGCTACAGAGTTTGTGCCCGGGGAGGTTGCCTAAGATTAGGTGGAGGAATCTTGTGCCCTGCAACCCTGACCTCTTACACCTGCAGCACCAGATGACACAGCTCACAATGTCTGATAATTCCTCTCTAAATGAGCTGGGGGGGCAGGGATGAGGGTAAATGAAAGATCCATTGTGAAAGTGTTGGATACACCCAGTTTTTCAAAAATTATATGGATGCTTTCCTGAGCCTAGTGACTTAATGTTAATATTAGTCTAGCATTAAATAACAGACAATCTACTGGAACGTTTTGTAACATACTCATAGGGGGTTTTGCATTAAGTAAAAACAGACTCCATCTGAAGGGAAGTAGTTTTCATATTATACATCTTTAGACATCCAGCGTCACGGAGCTGTTTAGAGGATACAACTTGGCAGGTTGCTGTAGGGATTCTGGAGGAATGATGATGTCATCAAAGAACCCAAGTGAAACTACAAAAAAGAAGTTCAGATTAATAAAGAAGCAAGATCGATGCAATGCGACTCCTAGAATTTAAGCTTTCCCCATGTCATCACCTAGTGGCATGTCCAATAAGGAATCTGAACCTATGTCCAGCATTCTTTCCGCTGTACTGTAAATTTAATAAATGCAGAATTGGAATATCCATCAGGACAATAAAGGAGAACAACTTTAAACCTCAAATATGTTTTTCCACCTTTCATTCTATATTGACGTATTTTTATTTATTTATTTTTCAGAAAAGAAACTGAAGTTCAGTTCTTTTGGCAATGTTTTGCTGCTATTAAGGAGTGATTCCAAACATCTTAACCATAGTAACTTCAAACTTTATTAATAGAACAGTCTTTCTTTTGAGACATATCTACTGGTTATCTTGATATAATATTCCAGAATTCTAGACACCCACTGTAGCCCTACCCATAATATTCCTGTGATTATTTGGTGAATTACTAGTAAAAGTTAAAATTTACCCCGAACTCCTTCCAGACTGCAGCCTTTTATTACTCCAACCAGAATTTCATCCAGAAAGGGGTGAAACACAACATACCGAAAATGCACTGAAAAAGAAAAAAGCAACACAATATGCTGCTTGAACAAGTCACGATTCCCTCCCTCCCTATGGATCGCTAAAATAGCAATCCAATACAGTGGACGATCAGGTTGCAAACATAATCCGTGCGGGAAGCACGTCTGCAACCCACAGCGTCGGGTCTGCGGGGGTTGCGATTTGGCACTTGTGCGCATGCGCAGAAACCCGGAAGTAACCCATTCTGGTACTTCTGGGTTCGCTGCGGTGCGCAACCCAAAGGGTCTGTAAGCCGAGGTATGACTGTACTAGCATTTTGCTATTTACTAGTTTCTGAAAAAACTTGTATAAATAATGAATGGCAGGCTCAAATACCACCATACAGTGGTATTCCCATTTCAAGCCAAAACCTCCTAAGTTTCAGTGACTGTTCCTACAATCACCAAAGCAAGTGTGGCAAAATGTTTGTAGTTGTTGTTTAACAGAAGCATAAGGGTTTTGTCTCTTTAAATAAAGGACATGGCCTCCAATGGGAAGGTGTAAATGCAGGGCAGAACCAAAAGACCCAAAACCATGATACTGGCAAAACATGGGTGGGTGGAGTTGGCACTTGCTTCTGACCTTCTCTGCTTGACAAAATCCAGTATTTACACTCAGACATGCATACAGCTGGGTGTACAAGTGGAGACACTCATGTTTAGGGGTCTAAGAATTTCAAAATTGCCATGATCGCACATCATTAATTGCACCTCTCCATCTCCCAAAAACTGTCTAAGAAATCCTAAGGAAAACTATGCTTTCAATCTATGCTTCTATGTCATTGCTCTAATGATGTGCATAGCATATCAGTCCAGTTTCTGGGCAGCTGTGTCAGCTTTTTGAGATTCTGCAAGCCTGGCAGACTGAAAATAGACTTGTTTTGATCGGTAACTAGAGCAAATAGGACAGTGCTGAGTGAACTGCAGCAGTAAGGGAAATGAAGATTAGAGTGGCCCTGTTTGCACCCAAGTGGTCTTTTAGATTTGTCTTGTCAGATATTAGATGTACAAGATAAATGAAGGTCAAGACACCAGCAGTTTCTAGAGTGAACAACTGAAATACACACTGGAAAAAGTCTGTCAGTACCTTTCATTTTCCATAAGAAACTGATGAATTTAAAAAATAGCAAAAGAAGTCAAAGAAAAGGATAACAAGTGTCATTTATGCAGGAGCATAAAGGTACACATTATGCACACTGCAAGTAATATACTGTCACCATTCCATGACTGATAAATCCATCAGCATTCTAAAGAACAACATTGTGATAAGTTGAGAATTTAAGACAGGGATCACCAACCTTTTTTGACCAATTGGCTCATTTTTAATTTTGAGAGCCCTGTTGGCACTAGTTACAAAATGGCTGCCATGGAGGGACACGGCATAACACAACATGGCTGCCATGTGGTGCGTGGGTAAAACACCCCCCGGCTGCCTCATGCTTACTATTGGAAATCAACTATGTCTTGCTAGACCTGATAGTTGAGACGCAGCTTTTAAAGGCACAAGAACCCTGCTTTTCCAAATGTGAATCCAAAAACAAAGCCTAAGCCGCATCCAGCACCCACTTCCTTGGGATTGTCCCATTGTAAACTTGCTTCCAAAGTTGGCATATACACCGTGGTACTGCAAGCTATTTATACCATGATTTTTAATGTGTGCCTGCACATCAGATCCTACACAGGAGATATGTCTAAGCGATAGGTGTGACCAATAAAGTGACCACCTGTCAAAGTGGCTCATAGAGGGCTGGTCACTTATGGATCTAGTCGTCCTGCTGAAGTTGCTCCCCGACCCTGCCATAGGTCAGCATATCATATTTCTATTTCTCCAGCCTAGAACATCAATATCAACATGTAGAACAAGCCTACCTCCTTGAGAATATTGGCAATAGGTAAGAAAATGTGGTACTGCAGCATACCTAGTATGTCACCACAACTCTCCTAAGGGATAGCAAGTTCTAAGGATTAAATGAAGTAAAAGGGACTTCCTCTGATTTCTGCCTATGAAGCAGTTCCCAAATGTATTTGCTACAGAAAGTATCTGCTGCTTTACCAGCAAAACGTAGATTCCCACATGAAGAAAATAGAGATCTTAAAGTACTGTAGTGCTGCCTACTCATGTTCATATTGCTTTAGGTACCTTTCTTAAATTTTGTGGTTGTCAACTCTCCTACCAATCCAAAGCGCTCATATTAAGAAGAATAAGAGGCAAACCTTTTGTATGTGATGCACCATCTCCTGGGAATATGTAGGAATCTTCCAGTTTTGTGATGTCGTAAAGGCAGATGCAGAGGCCAACATTATACACAACCTGTTTGGGGGTGGTGAAGACAAAATCCGGAGAGCAATAAATTCCAGCAACTAGAGGAAATGTGTTAAGCCTTCCTGAAACAATATGCCAGAGTTTATGCACAAGGAAAGCTGTGCATATGAACCAAACTGGTGAACTGATTCAAAATAATTGTTTAGCAGAAAATTATTTATATGTGCTGGCCTCAACTGGCAAAAGCAGTAGAGAAAGATGAGATAATTAAGAAGAAATTTGAGTGCGTTTCCTAAACAGATGCTCCACTTCTAGTTTCTACTTATTTTTTGCCTCCCATTTACTTTCCAGTCTTACACTACATTGCATCTCACTTGGATACTGAATTTAGACTGGTCAAAATCTGGTAGAGTTATTTTTCCATAGTTGTGCAAACTACTGTAGCCACTACAATTACACCAGTTAAGTTATGTGATTTTGCATCATGCCTAGTATTACATGTGACATTATACTTTTTATTGACACTAAGCCACAGATGCTGTTTTCAGTCAACAAACTGGTCTGTTTCTAAAAATCTTCACATTTACAATAGTTGCCCATTAAAAAACTTTAGTCAGCCGTCATGGCCTACAACACTTAAGCTTTACCTTATTGGCTAACTTCTTATTCAACTCTTCAGTGATAGCGTCATTAAGCTTCCTTTCAAACTGCCATGGAGGAATTCGCACAGTATCTGTCATCTCCACTAACACAAACATGGTGGCCAACAAGAGTAAAGTTCCTGAAAGAGGAAAAAAGAAGAGTCAGCAAGACAAATGTTCTTTTCTGCAATGATGGTCGTGACAGCAGGTGGTGACAGGAGGGGGAAAGACGCTGAAGTTTTTGTGACTCTAGTGGATCTTGTTCCATTGACCTAATCTGGTGTACATTTCAATTTCTGGTAAAAATCAATGGTTATTAAAGAATTTTGTAACCATTCTGAGCAAGCTAATTTGATTATGAATTACTGTATATCATCAGATTTTACATTAGTTATTTTTAACAGATTTTTTATTTGTCTACTTTCCAACCTTATTTGCTGGAAAATGTATACTATCTGCAGTGTGCTGTGAAATATACTATTTATCATAAAATAAGCCATGTTTTGTTACTTTAACATACTTAATACCATTTTCTTAACACATGAATTCAAAGGTGGTCTACCAGACAATACTGTCATAATTTAATAGGCTAAAATACATTCAATTATGCTGAGAATTAAAATGGCAAGCACAGAACTCATATTTAAAGTACTAGGGCACAAAAAAAAGCTTTTCTAAAAAGTAAGATTTTTAAATATGCTCTAAAGCTTATGAAGTATTCACAAGCTCCTCGAGGAAGAGTTTCACAGGACAGAACCAGAACAGATCGTGAGAATGATAACTTTGATCTTGATTTCATATCAGGATGTCTTTTTAAGGCCAAAATTAAAGTAACCGCAAAAAAAGCCTTGAAGCTAGTGCAGGGGAGGAAAAGAGGGAGTGTGCTGGTGTAAGGCTTGATCTTGGCTTAATGACCTATTTTATTAAGCAGAATTGTTATGTCCAAACTGGTCCTTGGAATCTCAAGATGTAATGACCATCAATTTGATAAGAAAAACATATTTAGGTAAAAAAACGAGAACCACCATGGATTTCTGAGGTTAAACATTAGCGTGTTCTGGGTATGCACTCATATCTCTCAGGCCCAAGCACCAAATTCAAGTGCATCTATTTTATTTGCCCTGCAACATGCTCAGTTCTAAAACCAGCATGTTTCCATGCTTGGAGTACTGGCCTAGGACTGTGAAGCTCTAGGTTCAAATCCTCACTGAGACATACAGTTCACCAGATAATCGTGGGTTACCCATTCATTCTTAGCCTATATCACCTTCACAGTGTTGCTGCGAAGATAAGGGGTTGTGGGAAAGAGGGAAGGCCCATGTACGTTTACCTAAGTCAGATAACGAATATCTGACTACCGACTGAGCACCGTGCACGTTTGGTTTTTCATTTCGTTGCACAGCACTAATTTGCAGAGTAGCAATCTCGCTGTCGGAAAGCTAGAAACATCTACGGCCTGAACCCATTTACTTTATAATGCACCTTTTGCACTACAGAAGTGTAATCTGCCCGAATTTTCTCATGAAATGAGATGAAGTGCTTAGCACACGAAAACGCTAAGCAGAAGAATGATGTGCTTGAGAGCTAAGGCTTACACGATCATGTGCATTAGGAAGGGAGCCCAATGAACCACATGCGTGGCCGGGAGAAGAGCCGTCCTGGCTCTCCAGATCCTCCTCCTCCTTTCTTCCCCGCCGTCTATTGTCAGAGTGATCCCCGGCACCCGCTAGCGGGCCGAGGCCGATGGAGAAGCGGCGGCCGAGGCCTGAAGGCTCCCCTGCAAGCCTCCGCTCGCTCGCAGCGGCCGAGCAGCTCCTGCCCTCGCGGCTCCACTCACCCGCCTCGCGATCGCGGCTCCACGGCGACCAGCTGTCCGAGGGCAGCGGCAAGGTCAGCGCTCCTTCTATCAGAAAACGGAGGGTCGCTGGCAACCGCGACCTTACACAGAAGACCGGACACCGTCTCTTGACCACGCGACGCAGACGTTTGCTAGAGGAAAATGCT